AGGTTTTGTCATCATCAGGTATCTTGTCAAAACGTTGTACATTTGCTGTTATATTAAAGTTTTTCTTCATTACCCATTCAAGCCATCTCCAGCCATTATTAGTCTCAAAGTGGGTTCCTCGTCATCGAATTTGAATTACAGAATATTTGTCTAACAGAAGAAAAACAAAAGAATATTATGGTGTTTCAAACTTATCATCTGATAGTACGAAAAATGGTTTAAGTCACCTTATGCGATTGGTGTTACGGCCACAGAATCTTCATTGATTCAGGTTTTACTGTATTAACAGTATTTGTTTGTTATTAATATTTGAAAATTCCTGTTTGATAATGTAAATAATGCTGTTATATTGAAACAATAAATGTTACTAAGTCAAACCTAACATAAGACTGTGAAGAGCAGTATTTGGTTTATGTTCACTTAAAGGTACTTTAAGATTTAATTTCGTAGTTTGATTCTGAACAAACACACACATACACAGTCATCTTTCTTACAAATGAGTATATATCATATTATGTTACTTTCCATTTCAAGATTTTCTGATTAAATGCTGATTTTTGAGAGTTTTGTATTATTTACAAAGTTGGAGTGTATTTACATTTTGTTTCATTTATTATTTAGGTTTTTTTTTCTTTCATTTTTCAGTGACAGCAGTCAAATTTGCCAACAATGACAAATCTCTTTTAGCCTGCTCTTCATTGGATGGGAACCTGTCAGTCTGTCAGTTGACTCCACCCCCAGCTACTGTTGTGTATCTTCTCAAAGGCCACACAGATGGCGTGACAGGTAAGAAAATGTGTATGACATCAGTAGAAGTTATAGTGTTGTAAAATAAAGACAGGGTAAAGCTGAAGTGGAAAAGTAGGGTTAGTAAATTAATGGGGGATTAGTAAATTAAAGGGGTATTAGTAAATAAATGGAGGATTAGTAAATAAAAGGAGGACTAGTAAATTAATGGGTATTAGTAAATTAATGGAGAATTAGTAAATACACAAGATATTTGAACAAGTTCACCTATGTATGAATGGTTGGCACTTATGTAATGTTTAAAATCAAATAAATAATTAAAATGCAGCTTTTAATATTTACACAAAAGTTTATTAAACCCATTAATGGCTTCCACTTAAAGACACTACATGTTTTGACTCACTTCTGTGTAGAAACAAACAAATATGAAACGTTGCGTTTTAGTTATTTATTTGATTTCACACTGACCTTACGTAAAGCTTATTCTCAAACAACAATGATATGATGAACGTGAGTATTCAAAACTGAAAAGACAACATTACTGAGGGAAGTGTCTGATTATATTTAAAGTATAACGTGTCCGCACATTAGATCTAATTGTTATTTTTAATGGTATATATTTAGCAACTGTAGAATGACATACAACAAATCAATAATATAATTCACACTAATTTTTTTCATATTTGTTTGTCTTTGATTCTGAGATTTCTTGATTAGGATTTGAGTGGTCTGTGTCAAATGACTTACTGGTGTCCTGTTCCCTTGATGGGACAGTCAGACTGTGGGATGCAGCATCGGGTTCTTGTGTTAGGATTGTTCGGGACCCATTAGGAGCACCTGTCCATTCTTGCACTTTCCAACCTACAACCATCATGTTGTTATTTAGTTCCTTTAGTTAATGCTTGTATA